AAGCAGGCTCTCTGCTGAGCAGGGAGCCAGATGTGGGGCTCGATCCCAGGACCCCAGGATCATGACCTGAGCCGAAGGCAGCCGCTTAACTGACTGAGCCACCCAGGTGCCCCAAAATTCACCCTTTTTAAAGTATATAATTCAGTGACTCTTAGTATATTCACAAGGTTGAACAACCATCACCACTAATTCCAAAACACTTTCATCACCTCAAAAAGAAACCCCATGCCCGTTAGCATTCACTCCCCATGCCCCCACCCCTCTGCTTCTGGCAACCACAAATCTATTTTCTGCTCCTATGGATTTACCTATTCTGGACTTTTCATATAATTAGAGTCATACAGTATGTGGCCTTTGAGGACTGCTTTCTTCCACTTACCATAATGGTTTTGAGGTTCATCCATACTGTAGCACATACCAGTACTTCTTTCCTTTTCGTGGCTGCATGATACTCCATTACATGGCTAGTCCACATTTTGTTTATCCCAGTCAGTGATTTGGGTTGTTGGGTCATCCAAGTTTTTCCCCATCTGGGCTCTCATGAATAATGCTGCTGTAACATGCAGAACAAGTTTTGGTGCGCACACAGGGGTCCAGTTCTCTTGGGTATATACCTAGAAGTGGAATTCCCTGGCCATATGGTAACTCAGTTTAATTTTTTGAGGAGCTACCAGACTGTATTCCAAAGTGGCTGCACCATTTTATATGTCCCCCAGCAAGGTATAGGGATTCCAAATTCTCCACATCTTCACCACCCCCCTGGTTCTGGTCCATCTTTTTTATTATAGCCATCCAAGGGGGGTGTGAAGCGGCATCTCACTGTGGTTTTGATTTGCATTTCCCCGATGACCTTCTGGGAAGATCTGCGTGTAATAGGAGACAATGCTTTAGTCTGTGGAAAAGTTATCATCAGGCCAAGTTGACCAGACAAGCTCCTGGATGGTAGAAGGCACCTTACTCCGAAAAATCAGATGTTCATTTGCTCCTGACAGATATCTGTAAATCCTTGTTAGGCACCTGTTACGGGTCACACGCTACTCTAAACACTGGAGTTCATTGGTGAACGAGACAGACATGGACCCCGCCTAGATGGAGCTTACATGCTGGTGGAGGAGCTTGGCATTTAATCATGTTAGAATAAGGACTTTAAGTACAAGTGTATGCAGCTAAGAGATAGAGAAAGGGAGGAGCCCGGGCAGCCTCTCTGACACACTGGTATTTTGGAAGTCCTGGACAGGAAGACCCCTAGCTTGTTAGAGGAGCTGGACTAAGCCAGTACAGTCTGAAGATATTTTTTATCTTCACCCCAGAAGATACTTCAAGAGAGGGACAGGACATGACGTGGGAGAGGAGTTGGGGGCCTTTATGCTGAGGGAAAGTGGAAGCCATTGGAGGATTTTGAGAATGGAAGTGATTGATCACTTTTACCTATTTTAAAGACCACTTTAACAGCAGGAAGGCAAAAAGGTGAGAAATGAAGGCAAGAGTGAGGGCAGAAAGACCAGTGAGGAGGCTGTTGCGGTCATCCAAGAAAGAGACCGTGGAGGCCTGGGCTGGGAAGTGGTGGAGACATGTGGCCGGAGCCTTGTGAACAGGTAGACAGACAGCCTCGGAGATGGATGGATGGGGAAAACAAAGGGGGAGAAGAAATGAAAGATGCTTTGGTCCCAGCATCTTTGGTCTTTGGTCTATGCTGCTCAGTCAGTGGGATGAGTAAGCCTGGGGAAGCAAGTGGCCTGGCAGATGATCAGAAGCCCCATTTGGGGAGACTAGGGGCCATCCCAGTTGGGGGGTCAAGGGAGCAGCCAGACTCTCCAACTTGGAGTATAGATGTCACCTTTACTTCCCCAAACGTGGGCGGACACAGTGAAGAAAGACGGATATGCTGACAAGGGAGCATAGACCATGCTGCCTTGGGGGGAGTCCAGCGCAGGCCATGCATCCCAGCTGAGGCCCCATCTTCCTTCAGGAGCCATCGTCTGCCTCCCAAGGCCTCCATGAGCACAGACATACATGTGGACAGGCCCAAGTATACGGCTGTGGCCCCGGCCACCATCCTCCCTGCTGTCTACTGCTCACTCAGCGTAGCTATGGGCAGTCTCTGCCACCCACGGCCACAGAGGTAATCAAGCCTGTGGTCCACAAGCCGAGACTTCTCTGCCTTAGCCAACACCCACGAGAGGACCCAAGCCTGTGGTCCACATCGTATCTGCATTCGCCTGCTCATGTCAAGCCTTGGCGCTGACATGTTCTTCCACGGGGGTCTAGCTGGCTGGTGAGAATGCTCAACCAGGTGTCAGGAGCCCTGCGGCCTTGTCACAACACACACTGACTCTAGCCAGGCATTCCCCTGCCCCTTTCCTTCACTCCTCCTTGGCAACGTAACCGAAGGGCAGGGCAACCTCTGGTGTCCTCCAGAGCAACGGATTTTGCAACTCGCAGGCAGGGTCACCTCAGCTATTTCTCTTCTCTGTCCCTTTCTTGGTTCCCTGGGTGTCCCTGACCCAGAGTGGGCAGCGACCAGCAGAGGCCTCCTGTCCCAGCTGAGTGTGGTGGTGTGTGTGGGAGGAGACCTCCGCAGGGGTGGGGCTCGGGGGGGCCAGAGCGGCCACAGGCACGGTGTGGAGGGGAAGGTGGGAGCTGGCCCTGCCCGCCGGGTTTTATCAGCGAGCTCCTCAGACATATACAGAGGCAGAGCTGTGTATATACTCCCAGTCCCCGCGCTCCATCTGTCTCCCACATGTCTAAACACTGAGGGCGCCAAGTGCCTGCCCTCCTCCTCCTCCTCCTCTCAACCCCATCACCACGGGGAGGGGGCGGGGAGGGACTCGGTACCCCTAAGGAGACAGGAGCAGCCGAGGTAGGGTGGGCCACCTCAGGCAGGAGGCCGCTGCTGAGTAGGAGCAAGAGATGCTAGGAGCCCCAGAGGCTGAGGTGCAACCCAGTCTGGATACGTGGCCTCGGGCATTAGCTAACAGAGGAAAACCAGCACTGGGGGCAAGACTTTTCCCTTGAAACCAGGCTTCTGGAAAATAACTCAAGTTATTTTCATTTAGCAAATGAATCTGAGCCATCAGATGGGCGGTCTGGGTTGGCAGCCTAAAAGCCCCGTCTCACGCTCACCCAGTGTCCACGTCCCGGCCACCCTGCAGGCCTCTCCCCAGCCCACCTCCTCTCCAGCAACCTGACCTCCAGGGTTTATAGCCTGGGCCGTCGCGGCCTGGAGGCTCCCTTCAGACACAGCAGCTGCCTGAGTGGGGGAGGATGGGGCTGCCTGATGGGGGCAGAGGCAAAGAAAACCCTGGTTGCTTATGGAGAGGGGCATAGTGGCCTTTGTAGCAGTCCTGAGAGGCTTGTCCCCTCTGACAAGGGAGGAAGACGTGGGAGCTAAGGTTCTCCTCACGTCTCTTGAGATCTTAGAGAACGAGTCTCCAGAAGGGGCCATTCCCCTCCAAGCCCAGCTCCCTTCCAGCCACCTCCTGGCCACCTTGAGATCCCAAGCAGTGCAGATGGATGTAGAGGTCTCCTCCCTGCACCCCACGAAAGACCGCATGTCTCATCTACCTATGGTGGAGCCCCCAGAAAGGCAGGAATGAAGTGGGCTCTTATTCCAGTAGAAGGAGTATTTCCCGCTAGCTTCTCATCTCCTCCCAAACAGAGGAAATCGTCGGGGCCTTTGGAGGTTTGGGTACTTCGGCCCGGAGTACAGGTGCAGGGTGGCACTGGGCAAACGGCCAGAGCTCCTGGTGGCCTCCCCTTTGCCTTGCTGGTGGTGACTGGGAGGAACCGCCAGACCTTCCCTCTCAAGTTATTCCTGCGGTTCCTGATCTTCCAGCTCTGAGATGGGCCACGAAGGGCCAGCAAAGAGGTGGTTCCTGGGGCCCAGAGGTGGTCTCAGTGGGTCACTGGCACGTGTCTCTCATACCTCCAGTGAGTACCACTCTGTCATCCTGGTCGGGGCACGCCCGGAAGTGCAACGAGACGGCCAAGTCCTATTGTGTCAATGGAGGGGTCTGCTACTACATCGAGGGCATCAACCAGCTCTCCTGCAAGTAAGTGACTGCTGGGGGCGGGCCGAGGGGCGAGAGTAGGGTGAGAGAGGCTGGGGCAGAAGCCGAGGGCTCTAGGAAACGTGCGCTTCAAGCCACGGACACGGGGTCCCCAGGGGGTGTAGACAGGGAGGTTTGCCCCTCTCCCTAGCCCTTTCTGGGCATCGAGGGAGCTGTCGACCCTCAAGAGCTTGGGGCTTCTGCAGTGCCAGTTCCTCAGGCCCCAACCCACCCCACCTCCCAGTGTCCACCCTTTCACTAACACCTATTAGGGAGATGGGGATGCCAGTCTATGCCCTAGGCACTGGGTTCTCTCTCTCTCTCCCCCTCCTGCGCTCTCTCTCTCTCCCCTCCTGTGCTCTCTCTTCCCCCCCCCGTCTCCCCCCCCATCTCTCAGCAACTCTCCAAACTGTGTTCTGATGAACATTTCCCAGGGTGTGCCTTCCCCAGCAGTGAAGAGCTTGGCAGGGTCAGGCAAAGCACAACTCCCAGTGCCCTTGGTAGTGAAGGGTCTGCTCTCCTAGCCTTGAGGGGAGACAAGGACTCTGCATCCAGTGCTCACCTCGAGACCTAGCCGCTCCCCCTGCCCAGTGTCCAGCTATGCCCTGGGTGCTGCTTGTTCCATTTCCGACCCCAGCCCCCCTCTGTGGAGTGAAAGGACACCAGTGAGGATACGGCTCTGGGTGTGGCCCAATGGGGGAGGTCAGGGTTGAGGAGAAGCTCGAGCTGGGGCCCCTCTACCTCCAGCCAGGTAGGGCTCCCCAGCAGGATCTCCATCCCGCTCCCCTTAGCCAACAGGGCAGACGGGAACACAGCAGTCCAGGGCTTGTGCAGGTCCAGCTGGGTCCTATTCATGCAGCCGGGCCCACAGTGGTGAATGAGGAGCCGGAGATGAGAGCAGCGCAGGTTCTGGCCAGATCGAGGCGGGGGGGGGAGGGGGCACTAGTTCACAACTTTGGGTTTTCAAAGCACCCCAAGCCTAGGACCCTGGCGAGGTGCCACAGTTGCCCCATTCCCATGGCATCTGGGCAGAGGCCACCAGAGTACGGGGGGAAATCAGAGAGCGGCATTTGCCCTCCCCACAGACAAGGTCAGATTCAGCACTTCTCAGCTCTCCTGCCTCTGGACTCCAGCTCCAAAGCTGCATCTCCCCATTGACTACAGCCTTAGCCCAGGACCCCCCACCTCACAAGGTGATAATGAGGGTGCCTCCTTGACACTCTCCCCTCAGTGCTGCGCTGGGTGGGCCGGACTGCCAAGCAGATCTGGCCTCCTTTGCTGGCTTCCCCCCAGCCCCACCCTTCGCCTGCTGCCATCCCCTTACTGGCCTCCCCCATCCTGAATTTCCGGGGACTGTCCCAGCAGCAACAGCAGGTCCCACAGGGAACTTCTCAGCCTGGACTCAGCCCCTCATCTTTCCCCTTCTGCCTCTAGGAGGCTGCCACATTCATGCAACAGACCCTGGGGAACATTCTAGCTGTGAAAACACTCTGAGCTCTCTGCAGGAGATCTATAGAAACTCGTAAGGGTTCTGATATACCTCACAGACATCCCCCAGCCCTGTACGCCCCTCTTCTTTTACTCCCCGACACATACACACACACACACCAGGCCTTTCCTCTTCCCTAGTCCCTCGGACCCTGGAACCTTGAAGGAATCTAGCAGCATCACTGAGATCAGCCCTGGCTCCAGGCAGGGAAGGTTTCAGCCACCCAGGACAGGTGCCAGGGCCGAGGAAGGCCATGGGGGCCCAGAGCTCCAGTGCTAGTGTTTAGTGTGGAAAGGGGTGTGATGAGCTATATGGGTTCCCACAGGGTCCTGCCAGCAAGGCTGTACCCCTAGGACCCTCTGAGTCACACCCAGCTAAAGCTGAGAGAAACAGAGGGCAGGAGCCTCAATCATTGTGAAGATGGTGTCCTGTGGGCAACTGGGGTTCACTACTTAGAACTTGATGTTGGTACCCCAAACCACGACCTCCCCATTTTAACCTGCCCTAGGTCAGCCCCAGCCAGGGCTCCTGGAACCAACTTTCCCTGACTCCCTGAGCCCTCAGGGGAGAGGGGCGTCCCTGGTGAGGATCACTTTCAGGAGGGCAGGTCCTCAGAGCTGTGCTGGAGAAGGACAGGGGGGAGGGGGGCAGGGCAGAACCCAGAGGCCATTCTGGGGGCGGGCGAGCCGGGAGGGAAGTGGGGGGCAGGCCTCTTGGGATTCCTGATGACACCTGAATGGAATAAAAAGGAAAGAATCTAGGAAATGGAACTCACGTCTTACCATTTGTGCTGTTTGTTTACTTTTTATTTTGATTTTTTTGCATTTCCGCTTAGCTTGGATAATGAAACTAGACTGGTCAGTTTCATTCCAGTTTCTATAAAAATCAGTTTTCCTTCCTGGTTTTCTGACACTTGTCGTTGTGTATTGGTTCTGAGCCCTGCAGGGAGTGTTGGGAAGCAGGCACACTCCATCCCTCCTGTTTTTCTGGAATTCAGAGCCAAAATAAGCAGTATCACGGATACTGAATTTTGTTTTAAAAAAGAAAACTTAGGGGGATTGGAAAACGGGGGTCCAAATCCAGGCGACTGTCCCCTGTCTGCATCAGACAGGGGCCTCTGCACTTCTTCTCGCTGCTTTCTCCTCTTCTCTCCGTGTTTTTGTGGAGCACGGTTGGTGCGTGACTCTTGGGGACTGGTTCAGGGGATGATGACAGAACAAGACTCTTTCCAGCCCTGTGCACATACCAGCGGCATGCCTCCCTCTCCCATCAAGCTCATCCCCCCACCTGCCCTACCCCATGTCCAGGTGGTTCTCCCATCCCATACCCATCTGCCTGCTCATCCTCTCCACGTCTCCACCCCCCCCCTCATGAGGCCAGAGGCCCTCCACCCCCCTCCAGTGCCTGGGGCACCCCCTCATCCTTCATCCTCCCCTTCCCCCGGGTGAGGGCAGCACACATGGCATTATCCCCAGGCTACCAAAAGGAGAAACTGAGGCCCGGGAGGTGGGTGGGAAAACGGGGAGGCAGAGTCCCAACCTCTCTGTCACCCCAGATACAGCCCGTGGGCTCTCCTCTCTGCCCCCGTCTCACCTCTGCTCTTCTCCAGCCCTGGGCACAGACCTTCCCACAGTCACAGTGGAGGACTTGGGGGAGGGCTGAGAAAGCTAGGACCTGCCGCTCCTTCTCATCTGTCCCTTGGGCCCCTGAAACTCCCCGTTTCAGTGGGAACCTACCCACTACCAGCCAGCTCCCCACATGGAGTCAGACCCCCCCCCTCGTGGTTGAGAGGTTTATGCAGCCCGTACCCCGCTACCTGGTCCTGAGCGCAGGGTAGCAAGGCTGTAGGCCCACCCCCAGAATCGTCCCCAGGAAGCCCCAGGCTCCTGGACGTGGCTCATTCTTGCCAAGCAGGAGTAAGGAGAGTCCAGGAGCCTGCTGGAAAGATCTAGTACCCAAAGAACAGTATGGGGTGCCCATCCCCCACCGCCCTCTTTTGTTCAGCCAGTGGGGAAGACACTTTCCCAGGATAGGAAGATTAGGACCAGATCACACAACTCCAGGGGGCACGTTCGTGTTAGAGACCGTACCCACGGTGCCACCTGGAGTTGTACAACTCAGCGGCCATGAAAGATAGGAGATTACAGTCCGGTTAGTCCAGGCTGGGTGTGGGATCAGCAATGCAGGGATGTGCTTACTTATTATCACTGGTCTCCAAGAGCCATGGGACAGCATCCCTGACTGTCAGCAGTGGGAATCAATTTCCCCTTTGCCCCCTCCTGCCCCTACACTACCCCACTCTCTCTCTGAAACACACACAAGAGCCGGGCTAATCTCAGACATTGGACACAGCCAAACCTATCTCTTTCCTATTCCTTTGAGGATTCTGAGAGTCATTTTGGCAACTTCCTGGGTCTTTGTTCTCCATCCCCAAAGGTGCTGCTGCTTTAATAATCACCTCTCCCCTCCAGCCCCCACCCCAAGTGGACATCAGCCTCTGAGAGCTGAGGAAGGAGAGCCGAGCCTGACTGGAGCTGGTTGGGAAGCCTTAGCAATGGCCTGCATTTTCCCGGGTGGGATGCTTAGACCAGAGAAGGATGTACCGACAAGGTGGTAGCCTCCTCCTTCTCTGAGCCACCCTGTTCAACAGGATGAGTGTGCATCAAGTCCACTGTAACCCCCACCTCCCGCCACGTTCTCCAGACACACTTCCCAGCCCTCCACGGCTACGCACTGGCCAGGCATTCCTACACATCTACTACCAGCCCTGCAAGGACCAGCCTCCTGCCTCCCCTGCGGGAGACGCCATTGAGGCCAGAGAAACTCCAGCTGCCTGCAGCCCACCAACCACTCCCAGTCCCTCAGGCTAGACTGGGCAACAGGAGTTCTGCGAGTGTCTATCACAGCCAACGGCAACCATCCCCTATAAGCTCAAGGGGTTGCTGATGGTTGGTCTACACAAGAATGCTCAGAGGTCGAGTACACTCACCTCTTGAGGAGGTTTACTGATTCACGGGGAACACCTGACCTATTATTGAGGGAACACTGGCGATGGAGTTACCTAATTTCCCAATAAGGAAGAGGCAGCCCAAACCCATCTTTGAGTAGGGGAATGGGGGTGGGATGGTCAGTCTGGCCCTGTCTTTAAGCTTCCCTGAGGTATCTGGCCTTGCCGGGGTTCAGAAGATAGTACAGGGCTGGCCATGTGTCCCAGAAATCTGCAGGACAGGGACTCACTTGAGAGTAGAGTGGCAGCCAGAGAGAAGACAGTGTACCGCGGGGGGAGGACAAAGACAGGGAGCAGGGATGGTGCTCAGCAGCTGCACAGGACCCAGCAGGGGAGGACGCGCTCCCACCAGAGCCAGACAGTGATGGAGGAGCAGGTCACGGGGAAAGGACAGGCGGCCCAGGCAGCCAGGGGACCCCCGAGTGGAAGAGGTTTCGGGGCCCTCGGGGAGCCTGCTTTGGCCCTCCCCCGCAATTGTGGTTCTTGCCAGGTGAGGGCAGGTGCCCCACACCTGGCCCCGGCTGGCCGGCTTTGAGACGCTGTAAATTCCAGCTCCTCTCCACATCACCTGTTCCTCACTAAGCCTTTTTTTTTTTTTTTTTTGCATATGTAGTGCTTCAGGGTAGCCTTCCCCAAACCATGTTCATAAGGGTTCCTCAAAAAACATCTTCCATAGTCAAATAAATTTGGGACATACTGGAATATTCAGCTCTTTCCTCCTACAAAACTTTTCCTAGCCTTTCATATGCCAGCGCACACTGCAGCTCTACAAGGAAACCCGGGGATGGATTTCTTAAATTTATTTGGCCACAGAACCCTCTTTGAGAGAACAGATGGAACATCTCCAAGGTCCCTTTTGTCATGGGCACACAGTCTAGAAACAGCATTCCGGAGGTCTCCTTTGAGCTTTCTGGGGGCTGTTTCGTGGATGAGAAAACCTGCCCGGGGCCCTGGAGAGAAGCCGTTGGTAGGGTCTGGAAGGAGTGGCTTCCCAGAACTTGGTCTTCTGGAAGGCTCCCAGCACCCTGCCTGCCTGCCTGGCTCCAAAGGGCTACCGTTCCAGCTTCACGGGGTCCCAGGCAGGTCAGAAGGGAAGTCTCACCGACCACAGGATAATTAGGCATGAGGTTCCCAGTCTCCCCCCCCCCACTTTCCCTAAATCATCCTCCTCTCCACCCCCCCCCCGCCCCCCACCTCCCACGGAGCAACATCTATGAGAGAGATTTGGAAGATTTCTGAGCCCTCCCCCCAGCCCCGACTCCAGCCCCCTGCAGCGATGAGTGTGACCCCGCGCCCGACTTGGTTTTCTCATTCATCACTGTGCACTTTGATTTCTAACCTGAGCCTCGCGGATGATGCCAGTTTGTTCTGTGATTTTTCCCCTTTTCCTTCTCCAGATGTCCAAACGGATTCTTCGGACAGAGATGTTTGGAGAAACTGCCTTTGCGATTGTACATGCCAGATCCTAAGCAAAGTATGTTTGAAGATACAAACACAAGTCCCCGCTCCTTAGAAAGCTTCCGGGTGCAGTCCCCCCCAGCGTAGGGCCTAGGGCCAGGGGTGTTGGTTGTTTTGATCTTCGGCTGTTTTGTTTTGTTTTTTTCCTTTTTTGTATTTTGGTTTGTTAGTTCTTTTGTTTTGTTTTTGTTTTGCTTTGTTTTTCATTTTTGGCCTAATCCTTGGGTTGCCAGTGCAGGGCTGCAGGTAAGGGGCAGAGTGGCGAGGCCAGTGAAAGCGTTAACGGTGGCAAGGAACCCAGCCGGCGGCGGCAGGAGTCCGTGCTGGGGTGTTGCTGTGCCTGCGGCTCGCTATCCTGGCGCGCTCTTTCTGGTTTTCTTTCTTTTGGTAGGTGTCCTGTGGGATACACCGGGGACAGGTGTCAGCAGTTCGCAATGGTCAACTTCTCCAGTATGTCTCTTTCTTCTATTTCTTTCCTTCCCTGGTGACTGACAACCTGCCCCACGCGGGAGGGCTGGGGCCTTGCTTAGCGAGACGTCGAGGGGGCCGGGGAGGGGGTGGGCGTGGTGGTCGTCCTGGGCTCCTCTCGGCCCTCAGGGCTCACTGGAAGCCTGTCTGGAGGAGACGGATATGCCCCCTGCCACCCCCACCCCACCCGCCTCTTCCTCTTTGCGGGGCGCTGGGCGCAAATATCACCGCGTGCTCTGCAGACGGCTGCAGCCGCGCTCCGGGCAGCCCGGCCAGCAGCGGGGAGGAGCCGGGACAGGGCCCTCACCTGCCTTTTAAGGCCTGTCTCAGGCGGCCACGTGCTGATGGGGCCCGGCAGCGAGCGTGTGCACGTGTGGGCCGGTGTGTTGGAGAGAGAAACAAGTTCTCGGAGAGCCTGTCTCCGGGTCTGGCCGGAGTTTGTCTGGTTTTGATTTGGGGTGACGGGGGAGAGTGGGGAAGGGGGGGTTGATGGAGAACAAGCCCCAGGGCAGTGGTTTCCGTGGAGGCCAGAGACCAGAGGCCCTTCTGTGGCTCCAGGATAGGGTGGGAGGGGGGTTTGCTGCCTGCTACAAGATAGAGGGAATGAGGATTCAAGGGATAATGGGTGAGTCTCTCTAGGCCCTCTCTGGTCTCAGTCTCCATCCAGAACTTCATTCCCTTCCTTTCTTCGACTTGTGAGGCTGAAGCTTTCTGGTTTGCATAGTGGGGGGGGGGGGGAATGTGAGCCCTGCAGCAGGAAGAGGAGAACGTAATTGTGGAATGTTTTGAGGCTGGGAGCAATTTCTTCAAGTGCCACCAGGTGGAGGTGGAGCAGAGCGGAACCAGGCCAGCTGCGGCGGGGGCGGGGGGCGACACGTGCGGCCCACGGTCTGTTGGAGGCCACGCCCAGGCAGCCACCCTCCAGAACACTCCAGGCTCCTGCTCGGCCCACCCCACCTCCTCCTCTCCAAGGAGGACAGCTGGGTCCTATGAAGAATGAGGAACCAAAGTGGCGGTGCCTGGGCACAGAGACATGGAGCTCCAGAAGAGCCAAGAGCGGGATGCGGGGGGGAGGGGTGCATTTAGGTGGCCCTTGGGAGAAAAGGGGTTTGTGGGTTTGGGTCTCAGGGTGGAGTGAATGAGTCTTCCCAGTCCTCCTTAGGCCACAGCACAAAAGCCTAGAAATCTTCACCTCCTTCTCCCTGCTAGAGCCTGGAAGCCAAGACTTGAAGAGGAAAGTGGAGGCCCCAGGGAGGTGGGGGCTGGGCAGCCCAGATGGTCAACTGTCTTGACGGAGTGTGGGAGGAAGCACTCTGCCCAGGCCCCTCCGGTAGGAGGCCAGGGAGGAAGGCTGTGGGGCTAAGAGCAGAGCTGTGGGCAGGGCATGTGGTCCAACAGAATTCTTTGGAGTCCAGGCTCCAGGAAGAATTGCAGAGTTAGATCTAGCCCCACTGGAGGGCCAGAGGTCAGGAGGGGCCTCAGGAGGGAAGAGAGCAGCCAGGCCGAGGCTAAGGAGCAGGGTAGAGAGGCAGTGGAGGACCTATTCCTTTGCACCCTCAGTCCCAGAGCCTCCCTGGCTTACGGGACTGTCCTGGACAGGGAGTCCCAGCCCATCGTGAATCGAGGAGCAGAGCCTCCAGAACTCGGCCACTGGCCAAGCTTCTCTGCCAGCTGGGCTGCTTCAACTTTCAGCTCAGAGCTGCTCAGAGGGTCAGCAGGGCCCCGGGAGCCCAGAAAAGGCCTAGAAATGCTTCCACAGGCCTTTCTGCCTCGCGTTATCAGGTTCCTTGCTGTTACCTTTTCGGGAGGATTTATATTCTTCACACACTTGGCCCAGAGCACTTCGTGCACTGTTCCATCAGATACTTATTGCAAAGGCAGTAGAAAATGCTAGCTGAAGTGTTCGGGCTTTGGATTCAGACAGATGTGAATGAAGATGGCAGCCAGCTGCTGAGCTTACCAGTTCTGGGGCCTCATTTAACCTCTCTGAGTTTGTTTTCTCATCTGCAAAATGGGGACAGTAATATTTATGCCTCGAAGGTTGCCGTGAGGAGAAAGTGCAGTGATGTGTAGGAAGGGCTCGGCAGAGAGCCTGCTGCCGTGGTTGGAGGGCAGCTTAGCACCTCTCCCAGCTACAGCTGGTATGGGGCGGGGGGCGGGGGGCGGGAGGGCCAGCACCAGTGCCCTGGTGGCTGACTCCCAGTCCTGAGCAGCGTCTGACTTTTCCCCTCCACCTAGACAGCCTGTAAACCAGATTACCTTTTGCAGCGGGCCACGGAAACGGCGCCCGTGGCCACGATAGCACTTTGAAGCCTCTCCTCTTCCCCTGACAGCCCCTCCATTTCCCAAGAGTCAAACCTTGTGCATCTCTATGCCCCCCAAGTGAAAGAACACACACACACAAGCATATACTCGCACACGTGCAAACACACATGTACTCACACGTACTCAGACACACAAGCACATGCCTGCACTCATGCAAAACACACATCTGCTCACCCCCGCACACACCTGTGCAAACGCATGAGCACGTGTTCTCATCAGGGGCCCGCATCATGGCCTCCTCGGCCAGGCCCCCGTAACTGCGTGTCATTGGACATGGCCAGGATGATGACTTCGTTTGTTGTCTGGTAAACCTGGCCCTCATGGGAGTCCAGCATCAGGTTGCCATGGTCACTGGTCAGTACCCGGTAGGACCCGTCTGTGATTCAGTGGCCCCGCTCCATCCTGGCCGAGTGGCAGCCTATGAACATGCTGAGCGGGAAACATCTTTGACAGGAGCGGACTTAGCCACAGGCCCCTCAGACTCTATCCCCGGTGAGAGGGAAGCAGGGCTGCCTTCCTGGAGACTGGGCAAGCTCTCAGTGACCTCACCAGTCCTGTCGGCCACCACTGGTCCACCCCAAACAGGACTGGCCTTTGACTGAAAGGGGGGGTCCCTTAGGAGGCCCAGACGCTGCTGCTTGGTTCCCAGACCAGGGAAGCAGAAGAAAACTCTTCAATGGCTTTCGGACCCCACGCGCTTCTCCAGGTGGTCATTTTCCTCACGACTAGCCGGTCGGGCCCAGAGACCCAATCGGCAGGAAGGGCACCGCACTTCCTGCTCATGGCCCCCACGTTCTCCTTCCTCTAGAGGAGAGGAGAATGTCAGAACACAATCTCACCTCCTCCCTGGACCTCACGAACTGACTGTGCCCGCGGGGAGGCCATATACTGGGCTCCTGTACACGCACCGAGCCTCCTGCTGTCCAGGCCTCTTGCCTCTTCCTCTCACTATGCGTGGCCCCTTTTGACAGATGAGGAAACCGAGACTAGACTTGCCCATGTGCACACAGCACAGTAGGGACAAAACTAAGACTTGGCGCCTGCAGACAGGTGTTGGCCACATGAGAATGGTAGGTGAGCTTTTCAGAAACACTGTTGAGATCTCTGGGCTCCCACCCGAGACCCTGATCCCATTGTCTGGGATGACTGTGAAGCGTAGCCGGGTGGCAGAGCTCCCAGAGATCCAATTTAACAGAGCCTGAGAGGTGGATAGGCCGAGAGCACTTGGAGACGCAGTGGGTCTGGGGCAGGGCTGATCCTTGGGCAGAGCCCTTTGATCTAACCCCTCTAGGGTATGGGTGCCCACTTCACAGGGCTCTGAAAGCACACATTTACAGTAAGATCCCACTTCAGAAAGTGCAGTTGGCCCCGCATTTGACACATGTGTTCCGCAGCTGAACCCACCTGGCTCTTCCTACAAGTTGCAGTTGGCTTTCCTAAGGAATGAAATCAGGCTCAAACCCCAAGGCCTAGGCCCCCATAGGCTTCTAGGGTGTTGGAGGTATCATGTGGAGAAGTGACCTGCTGCCTGGAGCCTCCTCCTCTCCCCATAAACTCAGGAGTCTCCATACCCGGGCTCCCAGTAGGTGGGCGGACCAACCACGCCTTTGGAGGCAGGACAAGGACAAGGGCCAGTCTGGGCCCCCCCACGCCCTTGTTCTGAACAGAGAAAAGGGCCCTGTGAATGAGCGCAGGGCTAAGCAGGGGTGTGCAGGAGGGGCGTGAGAATGTGGAAGGCCTGGCACTGGAGCTGGGGGGAAAGCAGGGACTCCTCGGGCCGCCACCCCCACTCACCTTTCCTCCCTGGGGACATCTGCCAACTGACTTTTGCGCCTCTGCCTCCCCACCAGGTACTAACCCCACAGCTCATCTCTAAAGAACCTGCCCTGCCTGCTGATCCTAACATTTCCTCTCTCCAACCCCCTCAGGGCTCTCGGGGACTGGGTGCCAGGGCAGGGGCTCAGGAGGCCGGGAGGGGACACCACTAACCTGCTTTCACCTCACAGGCTGGCTGCTGGTGTCTGAAGCGTCCTGACCAACGTTTCTCTCTCTCTCTCTCCCCCCCTGCCCTCCCCCACCCTCCCCGCTCCCCCATCTCTCTGTCTCTCCCTCCATCCCTTCCCCTCTCTGACCCTCCTCTCTTCTGCCAGAGCACCTTGGATTTGAACTAAAGGGTACGGAGCTCTATGTATCAGTCAGTGCCACGCACACCGCCCCTCTCCGCGGCCTCTGACACCATGCTCGCTGGACGTTGAGTCTCCTTTCCAAAACATGGAAAAGGGATGAGTCCAAAAATCTCCCCTGGCCCCACCAAGATGTCCTATCATAAACTACATTGATTTGGGGGAGACAAGAAGCTCAGAAGAGCAGAGCACCCCAGGGTTCAGACTGTGCGCCCAGGGTACAGCAGCACCCCCTGGCCTGAGGCCAATCACTGGGAGGCCTCCCAGGAGAGCAGCCTCCTGAGCTGGTGTCCTGGAGCCACGGCATCCTGGCTTGGAGAGTTGTGCAGAGAGGCATCCTCTTCAGTTCGACTCTAATCCTCCTTCCTGTTCCCACTTCCATTTCCATTGCTTTCCATTCTGCACCTGCACTGGCAGCTGATCTCACCCATTTGTCTCTGCCCCCTGCCCTGTGTCTGTCTGCCGGGCTTTGCCATCCACTTGGGGCTGTCGCTCCCTCCATGATCTATCTCCACAATGGCACGCGTGTTCTTCGTCTGTGGGCAAGACAAGCGAGGGTCTAGGGTGGGCTGGCCTCTGGTGCTTGCCCTCCTGCTCCCCGGCTCAGAACCTTACCTCCCTCCCACTACTGCCCCCGGGCCCCTGGGAGACACCTTGAGTGGGAAGGGACTTGGAGGGGTCGGTCTGTCCTCTCTCTGTGCTGGGAGGCTCTGCCCTGGCCTCAAATGTCCAGACATGTCACAGCAGGAGAGCTAGGCAGGGGCTCAGAGGAGTCGAGGCTTCAGTGGGGTCAGACCTCAGATGCGGTACAGAGCCTACAGTATGAAAAGGCTCTTCTCGAGGCAGGACTGGAGAGGCCCTGGTTCCCTCACCGCCTCGCCCCTATCAGCTCTTCTCAGGAGATAGGGCTCGAGGTCTGTGAAGAGTGTGTCTATCTGCTGATGCTGACGGGTTGGGAGGAGAGGGGCCGAGTCTGCGTGGTGTGTGTGATCGTGGCAGGATGCGTGCAGTGAACCTGTGGGGGGTGGACATCACACACCTTGTTAAGTCCCCCGGTGCGGGATGCTGCGTGCATGAAGGCGCGCGGCGGGACATCTTTGTGTGAAGCTTGAGCGTCGTGCAGGTGCAACTGTGAGGGTGTGGAGGTGAGCGGCCGCGTGTGCAGATATGTGTGTCTGTGATGGTGGTCTGGATGTCCGTTCATGCACCAACTCAACAAACATCTACTGAACCCCAGAATTTGCCAGACTATGGCGCTCTGGCGCACAGAGTCCCTGCTGTCCTGGCGCTCAAATTCACAGGATGAGACAGTCAACAAACAGGAAAGATATCAGGTGGTGGTAAGTGCCATACCAAAAATAAAAGAAGGTAATGGGAGGGTGCCTAGCTGGGGAGGGAGTGACCTTAGCCGAGTGGCCAGGGAAGGCTTATGCGATGAGCTAACACCTGGGTTAAAACCTGATGGAAAACAGGCAGCCCTGCCAACAAGTGGAGGGGAGTGTTGGAGGAGGGGGCGCGGCAAGTTAGGGACGGTGGGTGGGGTGGGCTTGCCTGATTCAGTGGACGGAAGGGATGGCATCACCTCTGGACACAGCAGACACGGGGACTGGACCAATGATGAGATGTAAAGGCAAGGCTGGGACCGTAACCCAGGCCTCCGAGGCCATGGTGCGTGTGTGGGCTGGATTCGAATTGCAGGGGGAGGCCATTGTGGGTTTTCAGCAGAGGAGTAAATGATCTGCTGGCTTTGGGGCAGAGAACAGACGGGGTTGGGAGACGGGCTGGGGAGGAGTGGAAGCAGAGAAGCCAGTCAGGAGGTGCCCACCTGTCCAGGTGAGAGGGGACATCATCCTGGACTGAGCTAGAAGTGGTGGAAGTGGTCAAATCCGGAATCTACTGGGGGAGGCGGAACTGAGAAGACTGGCTGAAGCGTCAGGTGTCAGAGCAGGTGTGGAGGAAGGAGTCATCAGCAGTGACTCCAAGGTCTGGGGCCTGAGCAACAGGAGAGGGGGTGCTGCCCCTGACGACATGGGACGGGCAGGGAGCAGGTTTGGAAAGAGGCTGGGGAATCAGCGCTTCTGCTTGGCCGTGGCCCTTGGGTAGAGGAGTCTGGAGCTCAGGGAGAAACCAGGGCAGGAGATACAAATCTGAGAGTCACCTGCATACAGATGGTTTTAAACTCTGAGCTGCGTGAGATCATGGGAGGAGAGAGGGCAGGTGGAGGAAAGAAAGAAGCCTGAGAGCCCCTTCTACTACCTTGCGGCCCACATGGAAGAGTAGGAAGCAGCAACTGAACAGGTCAGCCAGTGAGGGAGGAGGATACGCAGGAGAGAGAGGGGAGTGGACCCAACAGGGGGAGTCAGCTGGAAGGGAAGCAAATGACCGGGGGACCTGGCAGTAGGAGGTTGTCGGTGACCAGGACCAGAGTGGTCTCGGAGCAGACAGGAGACAGATGCCCCATTGGAGAGGACTGGGGGGTGGGCAGGGATGAGAACTGGAGGCAGGACATGGACCACAGAGCCCAGAGATGGGGGTCCAGGGTGGAGGGCTGTTCAAGACCGCAGGATCATGTGTGTGCGTGTGCTTCTCCGGACACGTGCAAGTGTACCTTTGTGAAGGCGTCTGTCTGTGTACAGATAGGCATAGTCCTAAAGGTATGTGTGTCTGGAGGGTTTGTACTCCCAGTGTTTGCTGGTGGGTGTACGCAGGAGGTGCCGCAAGCCCAAGGACTTAGGGACATGTCCCGGGGCTCTACCTGGGTGTTGGGGTCTAGCCTCGGCGTGCCCCTGTGGAGGGGCCAGCAGGCAGGTGCAGGGAGCGGCAGGGGGTGTCCAGGCTGCTGCTGTCACCTCTTTCCTTTTCTTCCTCCTGGTCTTCTCTGCCCTAGAAGGGCAGGAGTTGCCCCACCAAGAAGCGGGAGGTGGAGGGGATAGCTGGTTCTTTTTTGAGGGCTTCGAAGCCCAGCCTAGCTCAGCTCCTCAGAAAGGGGCTGCTCCTCGAGCGCAAGAACCGTCCTAGGCACCAGGGGCTCTGCTGCCTCTTGGCTTCTCGAAAGCAAAAGGAAAGGCTGAAGCGGGCCAGGGCCACGTGCTGTCCAGGCCCAGGGACAAACCAAGGCCTTTCTCTCCATGCCCCACTCCATGGGCCTAGTCCACTCTGTCCCTGTTCCTGGCATCCCTCCTGAGTCCAGCCTCTGGGTCTGATGTCCTGTCACCAGCCCAGAACAAGCCACTCTCCAACTTCTTGGAAAAGCTGAAATGGCAAGCCAGGCCTTTGCCCGGGGTCTACCTGTTCACTGCCATGAAGAACAGCTCTCCCCCACCCATCCAGGCTCTTTGAAGCCACCAGGCCATTGTGGAGTAGGGCAAGGTTGCTGGTCAAGCTGGGTTGCCCTCTCCTATGGCCTTTGGAATTTCGCCTCCATCCCACCCACCCCTATCCCCCTGCATTTGCCATTCACACGCTCTGGGCAGGGTGCAAGGTTTGGGAAGGTGAATTCAGGGGTAGTCACTTGGGACCAGATCCATGAGTGGGTAGATTTCGGGGCAACAGAAGGCAATCCAGGAGGGAGGGGCTAGCTGGGGAAGGAGGAGATGCAAAGGAGCCGGGAGGCCCTGAGCTGGAGGGAGCCCGAAGCTTTGGGGGCGGAGGGGAGGGCGTCTTTGCATCACTGTCCCCACAGATCTGCCTCCTGCCCTGCCCCCTCACATCCTCTTCCTCTGCCTCTGCAGAAGCCGAGGAGCTGTACCAGAAGAGGGTCCTGACTATCACCGGCATCTGCGTGGCTCTGCTCGTGGTGGGCATCGTCTGCGTGGTCGCCTACTGCAAGACCAAGTGAGTGGCAGACACCCGAGCCTGCGGCAGGCCAGCCAGCGATGCGCCTCCAGGGTGGCTTTCGTGAGGACAGTCTCTCTTCTCCCCCCACACACCCCCTCCCCACCCTCCTATGCCCTAACAGCCCCTTCAGGGGCCTCTGCAGCTGGTGCGGGGCCAAAGGGCTCGGCCAAGAAGCAGGAGCAGAGGGTAGAGGAGGCAGGCCCCAGAGGAGTGAACAAGAATCAGCAAGAGCCCAGGTGTCAGAAGAAGACAGATCTGGGTGCGAATTCAGCTCTCCCCTGTACCATGACCCCGAGCAAACTGATGGGCCTCTCTGAGTCCTCATCTATAGAGTAGGGATGATCCTAGTAGGTACCTCGGAGGGCACTGTGAAGGAGCATCTGCCCTGTCAAGTAGGCAGGCGCGGGGGCAGTGTTGGTGGTGAGGAAGCGCAGAAAGGAAGGCTACATTCCCAGGTGACAAAGAGACCTCAGGAGGCACTGTCTAGTCCCACCTGGGAGAGGTCTAGGCTACAACACAGAGAAGATGGGGCCAGGTCACCTCTGGGCAGAGGAAAAGTGAGGGCAGAACCTCGGGGCAAGGGAAGAAAGGTGCAGAAAGGGGGCTGGGCAGTTCCTAGAAAATAGTGCAAGCTGACAGACAAATGCCAGAAAGGATCAGTTGTGTTCCTAGAGCATGAGCAGCCCAGACCAGTTGGAGCAAAGGCCTGGGGTCAAAAAAAGAGAGGCATGAGTCTAAGGAGACCGCTGGAACCCAGATGGTATCATAGGGCATTGAATCCCAAGCTAGGCAGCCTGGGTTTATCCTGTAAATGACAGGGAGCTCATGAAGGCTGTACAGTGATGTAATACAGGAAAAAAAATGATAGCTCTGTCCCATCCATTCTTACCTAGAAAGCAAGGGTCTGGGCATAACCACCATTTAGGGTACTGAGTCCCTCAGTCTTGACTCCTGCTACGCCCATCTCTGGGATCTAAGGCCTTGCCAGCCTTGGGAGTTAAGGCCCAAGGAGCCCAGAGGAGACTGGGCCCAAGAAGGAAAACTGAGGTCAAGAACTGGGGGAGAAGCAAACCCCTATTCTAACTTCCAGCGCATTTATTCATTTCTTGAACAAACTTGCATTCGATGCCTGCTGGATACCAGGCCCTCTGCAAGGCGCATGGCCAGGGCTCTAAGCAAGATGTCCAGTGTAACGGGATACGTCGCAGGGGGGCTGAACCTCAGGTGAAGGGCAAGAAGGGTTTCCCTGAGGGGGGACCTTTTAGGCTGAGCCTGGGGGGAGAGCAGGCATTGGCAGGTGAAGCGGCTGAGTGTGTCCCAGGGGGTGTAACAGTATGTGCAGAGCTGCCGAGACCAGAGAAGGCCGGCACAGGGGAGGATCAGAAGCAAGCCCCCCAAGGATAACGGCAAGCTGGGGTGCGGAGAGGGCCGTAGGAGAGGGCCCGTGAAGGCTGTTCAGCAGGGGACTGACGTGACTAAACTTGATCATTACAGAACAAACGTATTAGGCACTTAATATGGCCAAAGTAAAGTGGTCCACGAGCCCCTGACCACAGCTCTGCGTTTGATGGTCCTCGTTGCACTTTCCTGAAAGTACCTTGCTCATTAATCTGTTTATGTGTTTATTAATCTGCCTCCCCTACTGGCCTTCGAGCTCCATGAGGGTAGGGATTGTGTCCGTCTCCTTCTGTTCCAAAACAGCATCGGGCACATAGTAAAAACCCAAGAAATAGTGAGTGAATGAGTGAATGGACCAGTGCTTGAGTATTTTATCAGCTCTTAATTCTCAGTGGACTTTGCAGTGGATAAGTGGTCACCCTCTTTAAGATGAGCAAAGCACAGCATGGCGAGTGTAAGTAACTGGCCCAGGATTACACAGCTAGGAAGCAGGGGAGGTCTAGTCCCTCAGCAGAGCCAAAGCGCAGAAGCGCTCTGCTCCGGTCCTGCCGAATTCAAGCTGGTGGTGACAGTGGAGGTGGCAGGTGGGTGGGGTCCTGGCTGAGAGCAGTAGCAGGAGACTGCCGGGGGGCGGAGGCATCGCGGCCAGAGGTTAGAAGAGTTCTCCTGGAGGGACAGCGCGGGAATTTCATACACGGCGTGGGGGACACGCCAGGCTAACACACCCTTCTCCCGGGCAGAAAACAGCGGAAGCAGATGCACAACCACCTCCGGCAGAACATGTGCCCAGCCCACCAGAACCGGAGCCTGGCCAATGGGCCCAGCCACCCCCGGCTGGACCCCGAGGAGATCCAGATGGCAGATGTGAGTGGCCTTCCCAGAACCCCCCTGGAGCCCTCACTGGATAGCCGGCCTTGTCATGCCCCCTGCCGGGCCAGGCCAGGGCGGCAGCCGGCCCACACCATGCTCAGCCTTGCCCGCTAGCCTAGCCTCACCAGGACGGCTGGCCTCGCTCTGCCCACTTCCTGAAGGGGTTGATTTGCTGGGGCCATCGCTGCCCTAACACCGAGTCACTTATCCAGCGGACCACTCCCCAGCCTGAAGCCTAGCGTGTGGCTCCCCCAACCCCACCAGGAAGGAGGGCCGACTCGGGGACCTGTCACTAACTCCTGCCACACTGTGTCTCCCGCAGTACATCTCCAAGAACGTGCCAGCCACGGACCATGTCATCCGGAGGGAAACCGAGACCACCTTCTCTGGGAGCCACTCCTGCTCTCCTTCTCACCACTGCTCCACAGTCACACCCACCTCCAGCCACAGGTGGGCACCAGCCAGGCGCGTGTCTGCCTGGAGACACACAGAGAACCCCCCAGCCAGGCTCGCCTCTGTATTGAGGGTCCCCCTGAGTCAGAGGAGGGAGGTGGAGAGCTTTGGACCGGAACCCACCACTAGACGTTCATCCAGATCCTCAGCAGCCCGGATTCCCTTTTCCAGTCTAAACCGACCCCAGAGGGACACCAGCATCCCTGTGCTCTCACCTGACATTTAGTTTCGGCACCACATTATCTGGCATAAAGTGCCTCCTCATTCAACACCCACACCTATTTGATGCCCTTTCCTGAGTTTGCCCATATGAACCTAGTCCACCTTAGCTTCCTTTTCTTTAGAGTGGGGAGGTCTGTCTGGCCAAGGACGAAGGTTCATAGAGCTCAAGAAATAACATGGTTGGCCCCCTTCTTCCCTGGGGAGCGGTACGGACTAGGCAGGGCCCCCAGGTAATGGCCCGTGGGGCTGCGCTCCTGACATAGATGGCTAAGGACCATGGGAGTGGAAGGGTCCCAGACAGGGGGCCCCGGGCCGAGGCTGGTGGGGGGAGATGGTTGCACGGAGGAAAAGAAGAGGCTCGCGCACATGGCAGCTCACCCATCCACAGGACACTCAGCCCTCCTTCTCCCTAGATCATGATATGACACGTTGGCTCAGAGTGGAGAAGGGCAGTACTCTGAGGGTGCCTGAAATGAAATGAAGAACCAGGGACCACACCTGCTGGGCTGTCCTGCCCCTTCCTGATCCCTCACCTCTCCCCCACCCACTTTCTGCAGGCATGAGAGCCACACGTGGAGCATGGAACGTTCTGAAAGCCTGACCTCTGACTCGCAGTCGGGCATCATGCTGTCATCAGTGGGTACCAGCAAGTGCAACAGCCCGGCGTGCGTGGAGGCCCGGGCGCGGCGGGCAGCAGCCTACAGCCTGGAGGAGCGGCGCAGGGCGGCCATGCCATCTTACCACGACTCCGTAGACTCCCTGCGTGACTCCCCACACAGCGAGAGGTCAGTTCCTGCCCCATGCCCTCTGCCCCACCTTGGCCAGAGAACGGGCACCACTGACCCAGGGCTGACCCCTAGGGCACCTCAGAGACGCCCCAAAGATTCTCCTGTCCATATTTCCGATTGGCCAGCAAGGCCCCCGAGAGGTTCAATGATCTGCTCAGTGTCACCAGCATGTTCACGACAGACTGGGACTGCAGCTGAGCCAATGGACACTGGTGTGGAGTGACCATCTAATTTAACTGTCCCACTAGGACACCTTCCAAAATAGGAGGGGATGTTAATAATTGCACTAGAACATCAGGAACAAATGGGGGCTCTTCCAGACAAACCAGACCATATGGTCGGCCTACCCTGGTGTCACCAAGACGCCCCATGGCCCAGCGGGAACAGAAAGACACCAAGATCGAGCAGACTGGAGGGTGGGAGGGGAGGCTGTCTGCAAGGAGACTGACCAGTGCAGGCTGGGCACGAGCCAAGAACGACTGCAGGCCCTGGCAGTATCAGCAACAAGGCCCAGGGATCAAGACACCATTGAGTTTCCGAGCAATGGGTGGAGTGAGAACCAGGAAACTCCCCTTCTCCCCACCAGGAGTCACAGGAGGCCAGTCCATCACCTTGCTCAGCCCTCCAGTGGCCCTTAGCAAGTGGGGTCTGTGGGAAGAGAGCAGAGGAAGGCGCATAGTACTGGGAACTCCAGGCTGGAGTAGAGGGAGAGGAAATGTTCTCTTGCTCTAACTTAGCCTACTCCATGCCAGCCCTCGCTGAGCGGGCCTGCCTGGGGACCCAGAGATGGCCCACCTGGTTCTTGCTCCCGAGGAGCTCCAAGCCACAGACACAAACCACTGAAGCTCACAGCCGCCGAAGGAACGTGCTAAGGACAGGCCATCTTACCAGGGCAGAGACCCAGTCTGACTCCAGGCTCTAGGAAGCAACCAGGTTTGCCCAGACCAACCTTTCAAAGCCCAACTCCACCACCTGTGTGATTTAGAGCAGACTGATCACCCCTGTGCCTTGTTTCCTCAGCTGTAAATCATGAAAAACCACCTGTCACGCATGGTTCTCGTGAAGGCCATCAGAGATCATATGCACGAAGCTCTCTGCCTCCTACCCAGCTATGCTAGGTTTAGCTGTTGTTTTCAGTAGCAATAGGACTCCTTAATGGTTGGGAGGTAGAGAGACAGGGAGAGCACTCCAAGCAAGGGGAGCATCCTGTTCCAACAGAGGCATTTCAGAATGGCTAGTGAGTGAGATGCCCAGAGCAGGGTGAGCTGTAGGGAGAGTGGAGCTGGGTCTGAACAGGTAGGCTGGGGCCAGGGAGATGGCTGATGGCCCTGGGTTCTGCTTAGAATGTGGGCCCTGGATGGGTAAGCAGAAGGGCCTCCTTAAGCAAAACAGTGACGTTAAAAGATTGCTCTGGAAAGCGCATACAGGAGAGGAGAGGCCCTGGAGTGGGGTAATGACCAGAGCAAACAACTAGGCCCGGGATGGGGTAGAGCAGGGCACAGGGTGTGTTCCAGGAGATGGGGAATGGTAGCTAATTGGATGTGCATGTGGGAGAGGGCAAAGAGGGAAGGCAGGAGATTCAGAAAGAGAGTAATGGGGACTCTGGAGAGCACTGAAGTATAAGTCCTGGTTCCTGCCTGACATCGGTTCAAATCCCAACTCTACCACTTCCTGGTAGTGTGAGCCCTGAACAAGCCACTTAAATGTTCTGAGTCCCAGTTTCCTCATGTGTAGTATGGGACTAACATAAAGGTCTTAGAGAATCGTTGTTATTAGATGAGATAGTACATGTAAAATGCCCCATTCTGAGCCTGACCCAAGTAACCATTCAGAAACCCGGTGGCTGTGAGCATCCCCCACACCAAAGGATCATTCATGGAGGATCGTCAGGCAGGCACTTGCATTCCATCTGATACATTTATGGAATCATCCCAACGACGCCATGGAATGAGCACTGTGGTTATCCCCACTTAACAGATAAGGCAACCGAGCCTGGGAGAGGTTAAGGAAATTGTCTAAGGTCAGTGGGGAGTGCCACCACGATTCCTGCACGCGGGATCCCAGGCATGACCACTGCTTTCCGTCGGGAACCACTCATTCACCCCACCCCGTACCCCCCCCCCGCCCACACCTCTGCCTCTCCCCGCAGGTACGTGTCGGCACTGACCACGCCCGCGCGCCTCTCTCCCGTGGACTTCCACTACTCGCTGGCCACGCAGGTGCCGACTTTTGAGATCACGTCCCCCAACTCGGCTCACGCAGTGTCGCTGCCGCCGGCCGCGCCCATCAACTACCGCCTGGCGGAGCAGCAGCCACTACTGCGGCAGCCGGCGCCCCCCGGCCCGGGGCCCGGGCCCGGCGCGG